TCTTCTGCCATTAGCCAGAAATCTGCCCAGCAGCAGCAAGTGAGAACAACTGAGGCAGGAGACTACTTTAGACCTGTAGCTGCCTTTTACCTACTCAGGAATACTTTCAGACTACATAGTTTTTTGAAGTGCCCAACCCCTATTTTCTTCCCCAGTCGAAAGTCTGCAGCTCAGCTCCAGGTGCACCTGTTTTCAAGAAACTGGGAGGCCATTAGAATCTCCAGTTCCAGTGAAAATGGTGTAGGTTGGAGGGTGAGCACCAGAGAGATAGAGCTGTAGAGGAACTGCAGCTCACCTTCTCCCAGTCTCCCTTTGACTTATCAGAATTAACTCCAAGAAATTAGGAATAAATGTATAATCCGTCAGATGATCAGAAACCAATATAGGCACCAGCAGTTAGCGTAATGGCTATGTCACTGAACTCCCATGTAGTCATCCGCTGTTTGAGTCCCAGACCCGGTGGCTTAAAACTCAAGCTGGGCACGTGTGCAGGGTGCTCAAGATCTGAGAGGAGAATGGTGAAGAAGGGATTGTGGCGTGGCCATTCCCCCAGGGGATGATTTCTTGCTTTCTGTCTCTCTGTCTCTCTCTGTCTTTCTGGCAAGCATTCGCCCCCTATAACAAAAACTTCTCAAAAAACAAAAACAAAAACAAAAAAAAAAACACCAGTGCAGAGGAACAAGAAATATGAGAAACCAAGAAAATCTCTCTATTCTAAGGGAAAAGAACAATTCCTCATTATCCACAGACAGTACAATAGAACTCGTGGAAATGTCAGATAAACAATTCAGAATATTCATAGGGACAAAACTAAATGAGATGCAAGAGAAAAGAAACAACAAACTCCAGGAGATGAGGAACTTCTTCCATGATCTGAAAGAAGAAATAGACACCATAAAAAAGAAGCAGATGGAACTGTTAGAGATGACAGCTATAATATGGGAAATCAAAGCCTCCCTCAAAAGTATTAAAAGCAAATTAGATCATGCAGAAGATCTAATCTTGAATCTAGAAGACAAAACCTCTAACTCAGAGAATAATCACCAAAAATAATGGAAAAAAATAACCCCCAAAATTAAAATAAGGCTAATATATGGGAAATACTTGTACACCTTTAAACGCCCAAACATCCAAATAACTGATATCACAGAAGGTGAAGAAACTGATAAGGGTATTGATAAATCTATTTCATGATATCCTGGAAGAAATCTTTCCAAGTCTAGAGTACCATTCAAACATCTAGACCCAGGAAACACAAAGGACCTCAAACAGAATCAACCCAAGAAGATTCTCTCCATGGCACATTATACCATATTGGTCAAAATCACAGATGAAGACAAGACACTAAAAATGGCAAGAGAGAAACGTCAAGTTACTTGCAAAGGTTATCCCATCAGGCTAAAATTGGACCTTTCAGTGGAAGCAATGCAAGCAAGTAAAGAGTGGGAAGATATATTTAAAGTGTTAAAAGAAAAACAGTTTCAACCAAGATTCTGTACTCAGCAAGATTATTTTTTCAAGTGAGAAGAAAAGATGAAAACATTCTCGGATGAATGAACCCTAAATGCATTTACCAACACCAGGGCAGCTCTTCAAGAAGTTCTGAAAGGAGTGCTATATCAAGAAAACTAAAAAGAGACAGACAGAAATAAGAGAACAAATAGCAACCAAGGAAATGGCTAACTTAATGGTAGGGGCAAGTCCATAAACAAAGATAATAACATTGAATGCTAATATATTCAATTTTCCAGTTAAGAGACATAGGATGGCTGAATGGATAAAAAACAAAAACCAAAAATGAACAAACAAAAAAAACGAGGAGCCCCTCTATCTGTTGCCTACAAGAAATGCACCTCGTGGATAAAGACAGACAGAGACTAAAAGTTAAGGGCTGTAAATTTCAATGCAAATGGAAACCAAAAAAAGGGCCGGAGTTGCGATGGTGATTTCACACAAAATAGACTTTAAGACAAAAACTGTAAGAAGAAACAAAGAAGGGCTTCATGCAGTAGTAAAAGGCCTAATTCATCCAGAAAATATAATGCTTATAAATATCTATGCACGCAACTCAGGAGCACCCAACTGTGTAAAGGGTAGACTGGTAGATCTAAGAGGAGAGATAGACTGCAACACTTGAACTGTTGGGAATCTCAATACCCCACTATCCCCTTTGAACAGATCATCTAGACAAAAAAATAAGCAAAGAGATATAGGATCTAAATGATACCATAAATCAAATGAACTTGACAGACATCTATAGAACCTTCCACCCAAAATCTATGAAATATCAACCCAGCATGGACCATTTTCAAAGAGTGACCATGTGATACGACAGCAAATAAGCCTTTTCAGATTCAAAGGCATAGAAACTATATCCAGCACCTTCTCCGACCATGATGGAATTAAACTTCATATTAATCACAAAAAAAACTCCTCAAAAATACACAAACATATGGAAACTAAATAACCTACTCCTAAATGACTTCATAACTACTGACGAAATTAAGACTGAAATCAAAAGATTCATTAAAACCAGTCATAATAAGTATACGAGTTTCCATAATTTATGGGACATGGCAAAAGCAGTCATTAGAAGGAAGTGTGCATAAGAAAAATATGGGAAGGTGGCAAGTGGACAACCTATCGTGACTCAGAGAATTGGAAAAAAAATAAAATGCCAGGAGAAAGAAATAATAAAGATTCAAGCAGAAATAACTGAAATAAAAAAAATGAATGAACTATACAGAAAATAAATGAAACCAAAAGTTGGTTCTTTGAAAAGATAATCAAAATTGACAGACTAATTAAAAAGAGAGAAAGGATCCAGGTAAATCAAATTTACAATGAAACAGGCAATATTACAACAGACATAATAGAAATACAAAACATTATTAGAGATACAAAACATTATTAGAGAATACTATGAGGGACTATATGTCAACAAGTAAGAAAACCTAGATGAGGTGAAAAAATTCCTTGATATAATCTACCAAAATTAAATCAGAAAGACATAGAAAGCCTGAATAGATCCATAACAAGCAATGAGATTGAATCAGTAATAAATAACCTCCCAACAAAGAAAAGCCCAGGTCCTGATGGCTTCACTTCTGAATTCTACAAAACTTTAAAAGAAGACAACTCCCATTCTACTCAAATTATTTCTTTTTTTTTTAATAAAAAAATTGTATTTACTTAGAAGCATTCAAAACGTCAACAAAAGAGCTTCAACTTTTTTTTTTTTTTTTTTT